CCTCTTCTTTTATTTTTTTACCAGAAACATTAATGGGAATACTGGACGATGACTCTCAAAAGTTGTACAAGCTTATATGGACTAGAACAATGGCATGCCAAATGGAACCTTCTACCAGCAATATGGTTCGTCTCTTCCTTTCTTTATATCTTTTATCTAAATTTGGATAAGTCTTTAAGGATGTATTTCAAATGCACTTCATTGTCATGAGGATGTTCTTACTGTCAATATGTCTGAATCCTTAAGGGGTTATATGGGGTCCATAGTTTCCAAGTACGAGTATCAAGTGAGAGTTTTCAAACTATTTTGTCTTTTACCGAAAGGATACGAAAAAAGGGAGTTACTGCTGAAGTTTTTCCTTTTCTTCACAGTAGTGTTTTTCTACTTCAGTTGGGAAATATTCGGATCTTTCTAGGATTTCTGGTTTCTATTAAATTTAAGAAATTTCTTAAAAATTTATTTATTTATTATTCTATTTAGTTCAGTATTTCAGTATTTTCGAGAAGGAAGTCAGATTTTTTATTTCATTTTTTAGGAGTAAATACTTAAGACTTTTACAAAGTGGAGCTTTATTCATTGATTTACTTTGTTATTTATATGCTATCATATTTCTTCTCTTTCTTTATGGAAGAAAAAAGCTGCTGCCTCAGTTAGACCCTCTTACACAATATCCATTCGTGATCATGGTAGAATAAGTTACCAGCATCATTTCTTATCTTGGTCCAGATCTTTTTCCTGCATCGACTTCTGACTTTTATAACCGAAAGGTACATTTAATTTCAAATTGACTCGAATATATAAAGTAATAGGAATTTCATCAGGTGAGAATTCCAATTTAATTATAGAGAAACAAGATCAAGTTAGAATCTTACTTTAATTATGGTTCCTGGGAATTAACCTTTATCTTAAAAAAATGGTTTGGACACAATTATAATTCTCCTATATTGATTATTGTTTACCACACATCTCTACCTATTATGATGTCCGGTGGTTCAAATTGATGTAAGAAGCTGAAGTTAAGCTCAATAACAATTGCTAAGAGATCTTGACGCACTGCTGGATATGTTTTACAAAAAGTTTAAACTGAGAGTCGCGAGTCCACCCAACAACCACCACAATTGGGAAATAGAAAAGAACCATTCAATGTGTGCGTAGATAAAAGCAGCTGAATATTAGCTCGAAAATAGAGAGAATCATTCATTTATGTGTGCATAGATAAAAACAGCTGAAAGTTGGCTCCTGCAGAAATGGTTCCAGTGGTTTGATACTAGGAGAAATGTCTTATTGCATTCTTGAATCCATTTACTATTATCGATCTTAATCAATCTCTGCATATTTAGTTTTTGTATCTTTTATATCATCTATTGATCTATTCCATAGTCGTTTATTTGGAGAGATTCATGTGACATTTGTTAGATTTTGCTTGGTTGTGCTTTAGGTTCAAGTTGATATTGGGAACACGGAAGGAGACATGGTTTTTCGATCAGTTGCCTCTAGAGTTGGGTTTCCTGGATATCAAGAAGTTTATGAGGTTTGTCCTTTATTTAGTTGCACGGTTGGCACATAATAACCCAAGCTACTCTATTGATAATATATATAATAGATTCCTGTCAACCTTTTGAGTTTTTTGCTCTTTGTATAGTAACTGAATTTTCTTAAATTCCTTCACTGTGATTCCAAATTTTTGTAACATTTGTTTATTTCTCTGCATACATTCTCTTATGGTACTGTCTTTGCTGATTATAGCTATCATGTCTTGATAGAAACTTGTTTATATTTCTTTAAGTTCAGATTTTTTTTCTGTTGCCAGTTAGACAAAGAGGCATGTTAAGACTATCTGTATATTCCAGGGACTGCCTTATTGTTCCATAACCTGTAATCTCAGTATCATCTGTTGGTGAAATTTGTTTGCTCTCTATTTTAATAGATGGGAGCTCATATTCCTGTTTTCTGCCATTTTCTAAGATATAAATTTCAATAACCATCATTATTTATTTTAGAGAGAAGTGAGTCTCGTAAAAATTGAGGGTTTCGGAAGTAGTGCTCAGGATATTGTTTAATGTCAGGATGACAATATGTAATTGATGTTTTTTGTTTGGTCTTGGTGCCTATGGGATAGTATCCTATGTTCCCCATTTTGGTTGAATGAGATTACTGGTTGACCAATTTTAGCATTCACAACAAGATTACTAGGTGCGTAGATGGTCATTGATCTTTCCTTATTTACAGTCAACTTGTACTTGGAGTTGCATACAGTAGTTCTTTATCCACTTTCAACTGTCATCTTGAATTTTCTAAAGGTTATCCGCAATATTGTTCCAGGACAGAAAAGCTACTGGTCCGGGAAGTGAAGACAAGGAAAGGGAAGATAATGAGTCAGATTTTGAGGTTCTCTACAAGCTGAAGGTATATTACGAGTCTTCACATCTATGCTTTAACTATCTTTTGTTTCTTCCATAAATTGGTTTTTGAGCATTACTTGCTACTCAAGAAGAACTTCACATCTATGCTTTGGCTATTTTATTTTGTTTCTCCATCAATTGTTTGTTGATCATGAATTTCTACTCTAGAATTCTTCTTGTAATTGATGAATTGGATACACACCATTTATAAGACTTAGCTATATTCTGCCTATTTTTCTCTACATTTATTCAGGTTCTCATATATTAATTTGCTATTGCCTGTTTATCCCATCCAAAAGATTGGTATACTAAGTTACTAACTCATAACTACTTCAAAGAAGGGCAGTTTCTTATTCTATGGTTGTTTTCTCATAGGCTAAGGATTCACTATCATTTGTCGAAGTGGATCTCCAACAGCACTATACTAAACCACCACCACGATATTCTGAGGGAGCATTGGTAAGTGTTCTTCAATTTCATTATTGAGTTTGCTATATGCTGTTGTATCTTTAGATATATACCATCCTCGTCTTAGCATATTCTGTCACAAATTTTGCTTGAGTTGCTTAATTCAGGATTCATGATTTGGTTCCTTTGCTTATGAAAACTAAATTTGTTAGGTCAAAAAGTTGGAAGAACTTGGAATTGGAAGACCATCGACCTATGCATCCATTATGAAAGTGTTGCAGGTGCTTGTTAATACCTTTTGATTAGCATTACATATTTGCTTTCATTTTTTTGTTGAAGTGTCATAGCTTATCGGATGCACTCCTTACACATGATCTAATATTTTTTATTAGCATATCTGTCCGATTCAACAAACTTAGCTGTTATTATTCAGCATTTCTTTGACTTGTGTGATTAGTTCTAGTTTTATTAGTGAACACTGTTTTCTTGTTTCAGCATTTTCGTGTAATTGATCTTCCCATGGATATAGTACAGCTGTAGAAACCATAGCTAGAATTTCATGCAGTCGTGTTCAATTATCTTTCCACTTCTTTAGAATGTTCTCTGTAGAATCAGGTAATAAAAAGGGAACTAAAGTAACAACGTTCTGTTTTTTTGTCTGCTACCCCGTGGAGAGCAAGACTACACATCCATTCTGAATACATCAGAAGAATAAATATCTTTTGTCTTTGGCTTTCCAAAGGGGAAGAGAAATATGATAGGTACCACATGAAACTACTGTGCAATCTTATTCCATTAATGCTAGTTACTGAGAGATGCAAAATCCTCAATTCTGTTATTGTCTGATATTGTTGTCAACTCTCCTTTGGTATTTGGTTTCCCCATGATGTTTCTGCATTACTTCCCACGGGTGGAGTCTATGAATTGCATGGTACACATGCGGCCTTGTCATGAAATTAGTTGCCAACGTTTTTTCTTGGCGAAGGACAAAATTTTTTAGAGTCTTGCCAATATCATACTTTACTTTATATAAGTTCTCAATACTTTAGCTAAGTGTCTTAAAAGAATAATTGGATTGGTGGGCACAGTATGATTTACTGAACTCAAGGTCAGCCTCTTAAGAATATAGAAGGTTGAAGAAATACAGTGGGAATTAAATGTTATGAGTAATATGCTGAACTAAACCTGTTTATGGCATAATTAGCTATTCACATGCAACTATATCTTATTGCAAAGTCATCATTCGTGGGTAGTAAAATTCTAGGTATTCATATGAAACAGGAAAGGTTTCTTCTTCTTTGGACCGTGCATTATATACTTCTAAATCACATGGTTTGATAAGTGAGCTGTGAGCTTTCTGATTCGAGAGTAATGGTCCAACAAGCTTAGCCATTCAGATGAAAGAAGCTATTTGCCTGATTCTTTAATGTTATTAATTTCGGTGAACACTTCTCTTTGTCAAAACTAACCTTTTGAGTTTTTTGGGTTCCAATATGAAGAAAACTGGAAAATGTTGTCAAAAGTGAAAATTTGTAAATAAAATAAGACCTATGATTGTCAACTTGCTATTTATTAAATAGATGCGCTTAGTTTCATGAGTGCAACTTAACAAGTTTCTTAATGATGCATTTTTTAGCATAAATAGTGATGAAGGGATAAGTATGTGACAGCAGTAAAAATTTATTTAAATGTGCTTCCTTCGGGTTGGCAATGTGGGGACAATTTGGTTCTTCAAAGTTAACTTGTTTAGTGTTGAAGTTAAACTTATTTAGTGGTGACGTTATGAAACTTTCCTTCCATGCCATGTATAAAATTCCCTGCACTTCTTGAGATAAAAATGATAACATTTCCTAATTGTAGATTTTATGGTAAGTTTCAGAATTCTTTCTTAATACCAGATAATTAAATCTCTTGATATTGGTTAAATATTTTCTGAAGTATTACGTGTTTGTGTCCCATGATTTTTTTGTTCAAATTTATGTCCAATAGAGATACTCTTCTTGGATTCTGGATAAAGCTAACTTCTAGCTGGATCTAATAATTTTTATTTATATTTGTTTGTTGTATCCAGGATAGAAACTACATAACAATGAAGGGTCGAGTGTTACATCCTGAATTCCGCGGCCGTATGGTATTTCATGACTTTTTTGCTATCTTAGCGTGCAATTTCTTTATAATGTTACAGATAGTGTCTAAAAGTACTTTGCGAGCCAAAAGGTTTGGAATTCACATGGCTGGTTCAATAGAAGGTTTGGATGTCTACTATATGAGAGTTGCTCAGGAATTTGTTCTACGAAGCAGATATTATGTTTTCGTACATGATGTTTCTAGACATAGATTTGTCCTTGTATGTTGTATGTTCTTTTTGTGGGTTAGAAACCAATGTTCTTTTTTTTCTAACTTTGTTTTAAATCTTATTTTTATGTCTTAAAGTTCCTCTCACAGCACAAATGAGGGTTATAGTTATACTCTTAACATGTTTCCGCTGATTGAGGTTTTTTCTTACTGACCGAAACATGGGCTATCGTGCGCATTTTTATCTTTTTTTTAAACTTGGAATCCGCTTTAATGCATACCTGGTGGGATTTGAACCTATGTTGCTCTATATCATCTTCAAGTCTCTTCCGCTTATCCAAAACTCCAAAAATTGTTGAGGGCTGAGAGTAACAATTTTATATGCTAAAATATTTTTCGTCTTTAAATTGTGCATGACGTGTGATAAGTAACAATTTCATTTGGCAATTTTATTTTATTGCTTCTTGATGGTCTAGAATCTTTTATCTTAGATAACTTTAGGGTTTGCTCTCTGGTTGCATGAGCTTACACTTCATCAAGGAATAGGGTGCATTTTTTTCTATCCAGCTACCAGCCTTATCGGTTGCATGGCAAGTCTTTTTTCTTACTTGTGATTTCCTTAGTCAGGTATTTACCATGGCAGAAGATAGGTGTTTGGTTTGACATCCTATTGTCATATTTTGGCGCCATCATTGTTTTCAATCTAGATCTGAATTAATAGCCAATGCTATATTGCAGAAAGGATTCAATTAAGCAGCTGTAACCTTAATGTCATTATGTTGTCCATCTGTCATCTTTTAATGTTGTCATTATGTTCATAAGTTGATTCTAACTTTATGAAATAACCTTTGCATTTACACTGATTGTCCTGGTTTATGAGCTTTGTTATAGTTCTTATTTATGCACTGTCGTTTCGTGCGGTGTTCTGAAAATACTCTCAATCCTCAGGTGTCTGCTTTTCTTTCTCATCATTTCTCTGAGGTTGCTGATTATAGCTTCACCGCTGATATGGAGAATGAGGTAGCTTCATTAACTTTATATTCATTACTGAATTCAATAATGTCATTATGCGTTCTTCTTGATAGTAGACTTTCCGAGATAGCTGATGCAATATGAAAGATTGTATCTGGTAGTTTCAATTGGCAGCTACTTGGTTAGGCTTAGAGGGCATTTGTTAGCATGTAAGTGAAATTGATTAGTGTGATAGTGAACTCACTTTCAATTGATGTTTGTTTTTTAGAAATTTGAAAGTGTAGGTGAAAGTGTAGCATGCTTTAATGCATATGTCACTTACCCTGCAGAAGTGCTTAAGTCCCTCTTTTAAAAGTGGGGGTCAACATTAGTTAGAAGTATTTGATTTGTTAATATATCACCGAAAGTGTAGAATAATTTTAAATTAATTAATTAATATTGCCATATCAACTTTGCTTTGATGGTTTACAGATTTTTTAACCAAATCTATATTTTACTCTGCATGCTGATGCACTTTCACACTTGTAAAAAATGTGACTTTCACACTTTCAGGTCCACTTTCAGTTTGCCACCCGCTTAACTCTATATGCAACTTAACCATCCAAACTCTATCTCTATGCAGCAGTAATGTACTAATGTGGTTGTTTGGGATACTCTTCATTTTCTTTCTTGCTGTTAAACAATATAAAAAGAAAAATGGTAGCATTTCAGTGTTATGAACCATATTAGACCTCTATTTCTATTTTTATTTTTTTCAGCTGTTTACTTCATATACCAGTTATTGCTATTCTTAATCTTTTTGATTATTTTTGTATTTTGGCATTTTGTTCATGTGCATTCCTTTCTTAGCTTGATAATGTCTCTGCTGGAGAAACGGAATGGAAGGGTCTTCTTAAAGATTACTGGTCACGGTTTAGCAAGTATTGCGATCTTGCAAGCAATACAGAAATTCGCCAGGTAGTGATTTGATAACAGTGCCATTTATAATCAATTATATCTCAGTTTTCTCTATAAACCAGTTCTTATGTTCATTGTTCTCTACAATGAAAATTAATGTGTTTTCTTATTTGTCTCATAGGTAGAGAAGATGTTAGAGAAAAGATTTGATCACTACTTGTTTGCTGGGATGGACAGTGATAGTAGGGTCTGTCCAAGGTATTTTCTCATTAGTCATTTTGATGAATGCAGGACTTATTTGACCTATTATTGCTCGGCATCTTTCATTATTCTGAGATAGACGCTTTTGTGTTTTTAAAATTTGGCTGACACTATGGTGGTGTTTGTTTGCATGCAAGTGAAGGATGGAAGTGAGAAAGTGACTTGTTTTTAACATTTTAGTTTTTTTTTTTTCATGCAAGTGGTTACTAAAGTGAACTGCAAGAAAATTGCCACATACGATTTAATGCAATTTTGACTTCCTCTAAAAACGTGTTGAAGTCAACATGAAAGTGACCAAAATGGTAACCAATTTTAATTAAATGATTTTAACTACATTTACTAATTAATCCTACTTTTCCATATCATCTTCACATTGCACTTTCAACAATAGTTTTGTTTCTCAAACATAAAATGTATTTCACATGCGTGCTAACGTGGATGTGAAAGTTATTTGAAACAAAAAGTAAGTTATGCATTTTCAATTCACTTTCGAATTGCCAAATACCCCCTATACTGTCCTCTTCTCTGACCTTGCTACTGTTTGCATATAATAATCAATTAAGTCATTCTTTTGATTATTCTGTCATTAACAAGGGCAGTTTCTGCTCTTAAAATAAAACACATTCACATGTTGCTCGTTGAACATTAATTTGTGGAAAGTGTATTGTGCTTTATTGTTATGTAATATTTCAATTAGGAAACATACTAATCACAATTTTTTGTCTCAAATTCTGCAGTTGTTCGGTTGGCACTTTGAGATTTAAAGTTAGTAGGTTTGGTTCTGGATATTTTATTGGTTGTGATGAATACCCTAAATGCAAGTGAGTACCTTTACTTGTTTCTTTAGTAGTAACTTATGTTTTCCCCCCATTTTCAAGTATCTATTTATGAAGCTTCCAATTTTTCATCTCTACTACTATAAAGGGAGAGCCATTTCAACTGGCTGGCTGATCCAGAGCAGCTTTTATGTGCAGCCAATTGGTCATATGTTCTTTTATCTGCATAATCGAGTGACTAAAAACTGCACGCACGGGAACTTCAATTATTCACTTACACATATCATAAATTTTTAGGTTTCTAACTGCCATAATGAGTACCGTGTTAGGATGATATTACAACCATTATTTTTTGCAATATCCACGTCTCTTTTTACCTTTTATGCACATTCCCCTCTTACAATTTCAGTTGCGTTCACCTGGTTCCTAGGATGTGACTCCATGGCAACTAACCAATTAGCACCAGAATTATTCTCTACATGAACGCTGAACCTAAAGTAAGTTGTAAAGGCTTTGAAGGGGTCCCTTTCATGGTGGAATTTCCTGTCTAAATATGAGATTTCCAATCATTTAGAAAGTAATTTCCTTGACGTTGACCCGTATTTACCTAATAGGTGTCTGTATATATAGATATCATTTGTGATACCTATGGTATGTTCATAATAATATATTTTCTCAAATTATGCAAGATTTTATCTCCTTTTCCTTACAATGTTTTGCCTGTCTTCTTTAGTTCAACAGCCTAATTACCAATGAGATTACAGGCACACTGCAATGACAATATACAGCGAAGAAGATGAAGATGTTCCTTCTGAGAAGCTAGAGAAGTCTTTTCCACCAAGAATCTTAGGCAACAGCCCTGGTTCTGATGAGAAGGTTATTTTAACAAACCTTCATATTCGCATTGTAGTCAAGATGATACTTAATTGGTTATCGTTTCCATTTATTTAGAATATCAGAAATAATTGCCTTATGTTCCTTTGTAGATTTTCTTGAAGAAGGGTCCATATGGATACTATGTCCAGCTAGGAGAAGATAGGAAAGGTTACTCGCCCAAAAGATCTTCTCTTGCTGAGGTATTCTTCTACTTATTATTGACAAATGTTCATGTGTTAATGGTTCATACATTCTTTCAAGAAACTTTTTTGAACTTGTAAGCTTATATCTCCAGATCATGTGTACTTTTGATATATCTTGTAATCCATATTCCTCTCTTGTCTAGCAACATATTGATGGCTGTGTACTGTATAGACACATACCCTTTGGACTATATACTTCTGAATCAGCATTATGGATAAAGTCTAGCGGTTCTTTTTTTTATTTATTTTCAGAACCACTTTATAGGATTATAACAGCTTGTTTCTTTCAGAAGTTCATTTGATGACCATTATTGTACTAAGTTGATGTGCATAGATAGGTAGAAAGATTTTACCCCTCTTTCAAGATTGATTAGTGCTTCTACCAGGTTGGCTCGGATCTGTACCACTAGATATGGACCTGAACTACCCACTGTATAGTAACTCCTCAGATGGACCACTGCTCATCATGAAAGTCACTTGCTTCGTGTCTTAACCGAACATGCAATCATTATACCTACTGGGTTATCTGACAAGGTGTTTAACACATTGAATCTACACTATATGTCTGATACGTGTGTATCTTCTCCTCTGCTTCGGGAGCTTAGCGATCCTCATGGGAGCTTGAGGATAGGTGATTCTCATGATATCTTGAGCATAGTGGTGTGAAGCGATACGGCGGAGCACATGATAGAGCGTAATAGGGGTGTAAAACAGTACAGTGGAACGTAAGTGGAAGCGTGAAACGAGACGACGAGCAGCAAATTCAAAGAATCCAATTTTTAGCTCATGAGTCGACTCATACATGTACATGAGTCGACTCATCAGGTTGAGTCGACTCATGCCTGTCATAAGTCGACTCAAGAAATCAAGCCCTGTTAGCAATTTAGCTCTGACCAGTCGACTCATCAGTTATGAGTCGACTCATATAAGGTCATGAGTCGACTCATAGCTGTTCATGAGTCGACTCATCGAAGGTTTCCTGATTCGTTTGGGTTTCTGTTTGCACGAATTCCTGTTGGGGTTTGGTCTGGTTAATTACCAGATTGCCATTCACGTTTGTACACTTATATAAAGGGTTGTTTAGGGTTTCTAAACATCAGTTTTCATCTTCTTAAATCAGAGAGAAAAGAATGAGAGACTAAGATGTAGATCTAAAGGGTTTTAAGTCTAAGTGAGATCCTAATCAAAAGGATTAGGGTTTAGATTGTGATGATAAGTTTATGATCATTTTAGAGATCTTAGATCAGAGAGATTCTAATCTTTGTATTAGGGTTTAGAGAGGATTGAGAAGTTATTCTCGATTCTAGTGAGATTGTGAGTGAGAGATTGTAATCTTTTGTTCTTCATAATCTAGAAGAATGTATTTTTCTTCGCCATACTGAATTGTCTTGTGTTTTAGTTGTCTTCTTCTCAACCCACATTTTGGTAATTCCGCGACCAAAGGGTGCTCGCATGGCAACTCGTATCAATGTCAAAGACAGATCTAAGGTTTTGGTCGTTTTTGATACTATGCAGACTTAAAATTTTACTGCTTCTACAGAGATTTGATTAGCCAGTTGAGGGGTTTTTCAGGATGCAATAAAATAGATGATTTTATTCACTTCCTGTTTCTCTCCTATGTGGTATTATGTGATATTCGAAATACAGTTAGCCCGCCTATTCAACAAATAGAAGTTGCTCTTAAGATTTTTATAACTTGTACTCAAAACTATTTTTTCTTTACTAAGCAGTTGTTTCTTCTGAGGGTTGTTCAGGCAAGATATGTTTGTATTTATTATGGTGATCCAATGGGTTTACCCGGTAACATTGATATAGACTATTAACTGAATTAAAATGTAGCGATATTAAAAAATTATAAAAAAAGTCAAAAGCAATGGATGACAATGAGGTCACACTTGAAGCTTGGCAAACTAACATGAGACGAACTTTTCCTCCTGTACCGGGCAAGGTTTTAAATGTCGGATGTCGGGTTTATGTAGGATGGCTGAAATCCATGTCGGATAGCGAAAATCGGGGATATATCGGGGGACATTGACTAAATATCGGATTGTCATATCGGGTAGTACGCATATGTATAATATCATGTCCTAAATGTAATCTAAGCATTCATAAATTCAATATAAGCATATTTTATAAATTCTATAGACTAAACATATAAAAAAAAGTAAATAATATATGGATTTGGGTTCATAAATTCTTTCTATCGGGTTCATAAGAAACCCTTAAACATGAGAACGGGTCAAACGAGTTTGGTTATTTATCACTAAACCCAAACCTGATAACAAAAAACAAACCTGATAACAAAAAACAAACCTGATAACAAAAAACAGATCTTAAAAAAAGTACTATATCGGCCGATTTTTCAAAGCTAAAAAATAGACCGATATGCCCGATATGACCCTGATATTTCTGATTTGGCCCTGAAAATCGACATACGAGTTGAAAACGTCCATGTCGTGTCGGTCAAGCCCTCAAACCGATATGTCGGCCGACATGTCGGACATGTCGGCCGATATTTAAAACCTTAGTACCGGGAGATGGTGGGAAAAACCAACCTTATATTCAAGAAAAAAAAGGCTGTGAATTTTAAAGATATCAAATTAGAGAAGATCCATATGTTACCTTAATGTAAAATTTTGTGTGAGGTTACCCCATGATGATAAAATTTCAATGTGCAAACAATTTAAGTAAAATATAATCTGCTCCAGTAAATATGAGGGCAAGATTATTCTTGTGATAGGTTCTCATTTGAGGAGTTTACTTTTCCTATAAATTCTGTGTTTTTTCTGTCCTCAGTACTTTATTTTTATTATCCTCTGAAACTACACTTTTTTTTACTCATTTTCATTTATCATCTGTCACGTCTTAGAGGGTAATGCTTATCATATACTTCAGGTGAAAGATATAGATTCAGTTAATTTGGAGGATGCTATTGAGCTGCTGCAGTATCCTGTAACCTTGGTATATTTCTTTTTCCAAATTTTTATTTAGTTTAATATGGAATTATAAATTCTTTCGCTAATGTTTCCTAACTGCAATCTCTATATGTTATTTAAAAAATATATATATAGGGTAAGCATCCAGATGATCAACATCCTGTTATTTTGAGACATTCGAAATCTGGATTTTCAGTTAAACACCGACGAACTGTTGCCCCAGTGCCAAAGGTTTGTCAATCTTCAGAGCTGTTTTCTTGTTGAATGGATGAAAAGTCGATTAATCGTGATTTGATAGAAATTTCTATGAGTACCATGTTTGGGTTTTTCTAGTTTTATCACTAAATTCACCTGAGAAGGGTTGGCATGATGAAGTTCATTGCCTAGTTAGGAATATCCAGAGGCACTCAGTTGAATGAAACAGCACTACAAGTTATAGATTGTAAATACAAAATAAGTTTGCAAGGAGAAAAATACTACACAGTGGGAATAATGATGCATATGATTTTCTTATCTTCATAAAGTAGATAATAATTAATTCTGTATTTTTGAGTCAAATGTGTGTACCCTGATTTTCTTCAAGTTTTTACCTACAATTGGTTATAAATTGTTGCAGAAAATTGCATTAAAGATCTAAAGCAACAAAATGCTTGAGAAAATATATCTAAGTAAAAGAAATAAAAAAGGAGAACAAACAATCTTTTAGGTGTTCATCTTAAGAGGGCTATGTCCATTTAAAGAGAGATTATGATAATAAAGACGAGTATGTCAATGAAGACTATCTGCCATCTCATTTAACTTACAAAAACTTCCCTCATTGGCCTAGCTACCTTCTACAAGAAGTTCTCACCCAAGATCTCAATAATTCCTTTTGCGACGATAAATGATGATTTAAATAAAGATTCTCCAACGTCTTAAATTTGTAGAGTCTAAATACATCCTAGTTCAGTTAAGGATCCTAACAGTAATTTTAATTAGAGTTGGAAACTTAATCAAGTACCAGTGTATGTATAGTAATCATTTGTTGGTCAATGAAGAATGTGGTCTCCATAAGTACAAATCTCTCTGTTTTATGAGTAACTTCTCTTAGTTACCTTGCCACTACACCGAAACTCCGAAGTTGTGGATGGTTGAGAGTTATAATTTTAGATTCCGACATGCCCTTGCAGGTTGAGGGCCCTTCTATGGGCAGAAACCTAAAGTCACATAGTGGTATCAATTTTTTTTATTTTAAATCTATTAGAAATTCGTGGTCAGTAAGACTATAAATTGGGTTACTATCTTAAAGGCCCATGTCACTACACCAAAACTCTGAAGTTGTGATGGGGGTTGATTGGTTATAATTTTATATTCTAACTTCCATAGAAATGGAAATATGTTCTATTCCGTTTATCTTGCAAAGTATCTCTTCCCAAACTCTATGATGAGTATCAAAACCTAATTTGCATATTTGTTTTCTGCTGATGTTATCTTCGAATATTTGGAGCACTAAAAGTCTAAAGCAATTCTGGTGTCTGCCAACAATAATTTCTGTGTCAATATATACCAAGACTGAGTCTTAGCTTTCCTTGCGTAAACAATTTCCCTGCATACATCTTTGTGCATTATAAGTCCTCATTTTTGGACTGAAGTTTTGCTTCTTAATTATGATTTGCAGAACATGGACCCCAAGAAGGTCACACTGGAGAATGGGTTGAAGCTTCTGTCCAGTAAAACCGCAAAAAAGAGCGGTCGCCCCAAAAGTAAACCAAAAACTGAAGAAGAAGCCTCATGGGAGTAATTGTATATCTCAGCTAAACTTTATATCATATAGTCAATAAAGTATTCTTCTAGAGGTCCATATGTATACTATTTATTCTTTTATTGAATTGGCATGTTGTAAGTTATTATTATTTTTCTTTGTAAGCCGGGTCACCTGCCCATGAGTGTATTTTTGTACTCACTAGGCAGTAGATATATTCATCCATTGCCAAGCAGCAGAAGGCAAAACCGAAAAAAGCAATGTGCTACAAAAGTGTGGAGAGCACAACTTGATGCCGGTACAAATCAAAGTCAGTGACCAGGGCTCAGTCCAAATAGTTCGATAAGTTTTTACCGTATTTTTCATGAACTTACGTGGAAGCGCTCTTTGGAGTTTCCAAGGATTTATACTGTATGTCCAATGGAAGTACAATGAATCCTACTGGGAGTTTAAATCCCTTGAGCTTGTAAGCTTTCCCTGTAATTCTTTATCCAGATTCGGCAGTTTTGATGTTACTTTCTTAGATGTTTTGCGACACATTACTTGCTAACTACTTAGTATTACAATTCTCTTCTCGCTCGACAGAATTTCACTTGAACTGCTTGTCACAATGAACATCCAGACGTCTGATCATGTGCAATTAATTTGTTACATATCATTTGTTTACTTGAATCTGTCCGCTTGGTACTCGGTATTATGTCGAGCTTGTCAATGGCAACTCTTACTTTTCACTGTGTAACTTCAGGCTTAAGAAAACTCAGTGTTGTCTTTGTGATGATTTACTTTTGGGGCCTCGTCACATAAACTTTCTGGAGTCTCTCTCTCGCTAGAATTGGAATTGCTGTTACCATGTTGGCTTTACGAAATTGTTTTTATGTATTGAAGTTTCTTTAATATGACCTATTGCTAAAAAATTTAGATAATTACAGCATGGGATGCAAAATCTGAATTATATAATTGTTGGAATGTAAGCTGACAACATTCAATTCCGATTGTAAATTCAGTTTTGAGGTATTGAAAGAAAGTATACATGGTATAAGAGAAGCTTAGGTTTAAATCCTATCATATGTTGAAATAAACAGATTAACAATTCAATTGCGCAATAATTCAGGTTTTATACCCGTCTTAAACATCCTGGACAACTATCTCAGAAATGTTTTATATCACAAGGATAAAGACAATGAGATGCGTCTGAAGTCGTATACGCTAAGAAATATTTGTCATTTTCAATTATAATTTTAGCTGAACAGAACCACGTTTAGCCATTACCTTTGAGAAAAAGAATAGACAAAGAAAGTGTACCAGAAAAAGAGGAGTGCACTTTTTATCATAACAACGCACCCTATGGTGAGATCCGAGCCTTTTTTTGGTAAGGTTTTTGGTGGTGGGTGGGTGGGGTGGGGGGAGGGGGTTTGAAGGTGAGAGGTGGCAGTACTATACCTCAAGCTCCCCCCCCCCCCCCCCACCCCCTCAAATGCGCAAAATTCGGTTTTATACACGTCGTAAACATCCTGGACAACTATCTCATAAATGTTTTATATCACAAGGATATAAGACAATGATAGTTGTCATGTGTCTGAAGTAGTATACGTTAAGAAATATTTCTCATTTTCAATTATAATTTTAGCTGAACCATATTTAACCATTACCTTTTTTTCCCCTGCTCTCTTTGAGAAAGAGAATAGACAAAGAAATTGTACCAGAAAAAGACGAGTGACCACCCTGCACAGTATGAGACATTCTAATAGAATGTACACCCAATGAAGACTACAAAGGAGAAGGGAAGTACCTAAAAAAAAGGATAGGAGACGCATAGACAAATGTATTAAGATAAAGAAAAATACCACTACTCCTACATTCACATATGCAGACGCGCACATACAATCTGGAATATTTATGTGCAATTATACACAGCTTTCCACCAAATAAGAAATCTTGCATCAGTCTCACCCATACAAATATTTTGATACAGAGATATATATCATCTATATCACAATACACGCTTGATGCATCATATCAACTACGGTTGATAAATGGATTTATTACAGAATCATCACAACACAGTTTCTACACTTAAACAGCTTTGCCAATATATTACCTCCACTAAAATGTAGGCCACAGAAGCTCAGGCCTGAGGCGAGGTGTTATTGTTGAAAAGAGATACAGCATCACTGTATATCGCAACTGCATTTGATAGCACAGCAAGGACAATCATAAAAACCGATAAAATCTTATCCCATCTTGTCGCTATGCCATGAGAATCCCTGAAACAACCGAAAACAAAAGGTTAAAACGATAATCCAAGTAATTCAAAACTTTAAACCAAGAAAAATATTTCAAACTCTTACCTTAATGTAATAGCAGCAGGAAAGATGAAACCGATACAAACTGCAGCAGTTGCACCAGTAAATTGGAAGGCATCCCAAATGCTAGGAATGAAATTTGCAGCTAAGAAGATAACTGATAGCAGTGCAACAGTGATTGAGGAGAACCTCAAGTTGTCTGAAGACAAAGCTCTTGCTGTTGGAAAAAGGAGGTTGTCCAGGTTGAGCCTTAGCGCATGGAAGATTATAGGGAACACCAACATAAGGTGGAAAGCATAGCTCACTCGAACAATATCATTAAAAAGAGAGCTGTAAGGGATTCCAAGATTGGCATCGAAGTTGGCAAGCACATCGTGAAGTGTGGATTCGCCAAAGAGGAGGAAACCAAAGAAGCTCGTGGCAATGTAGACGATAGAGCATAGCAGTAAAGAGGCTTGTACGATAGGCTTGATTTGAGATGAGTCTTCAAGTTCATTATCGATGGTATGTACTGCACATTTACAAGAATAATTTATTTGATTTTTATCACGCTAACTACTTGTTTTTCCTAGAATGAGAATGAAACAGCACACAGATTACAAAACGAAGAATCCAGAAGTGGTTATGCGAGTCTACACAAAAGTAGACTAAATTTAGATCCTTGGGATAGATAAAAGCAATATATTCACGTTTAAAATGAAAATGATATAAATGTAACCTAATGTTCCTCTTCTCACAGATAATATTCATATTTAGCCTTTCTTAGGATTTCCAAGGTTCACATTAAGACTTCATGGCATATTCCATTATTTGAACTTATAGCACCATGAGTTGAGGTTTTAGGGGTTACTTGGTCATAAGAGCGGGCAATTTGAGAAAGAAATGTCTTCGAACTTAGATGATGTGAATGCAAAGTTCACAGAATCTATATTATGTTGGAAAATTGCCAATCTCATGACCCAATACATTTTCAAGACTCTCCTACCATTCTGAAAAAACTAATTCCTAGGGTTTCTCCAAAATAAGCCACACAAATAAAATATTTAAAAAAAAGAGAGAAAAAGACAGACCTACTGCAATTCTGCACAATGATATTCCCTATAACAAAAGTTTTCTAGGAGGTAAAAAGATAATAATTTACTGTAGTGTTATCATGTTCGACCCGAAGTAGAGGTTAAACTTTTCTAGTATATGCATACCATTGTAATGGCAGATATATGCAGTGACAAGAATAGGAACCACCGTGAAGAGTGACCAAACAGATGCCAAATCAGGAATATCAGGGAACAATTTGGGCATTGAAATGCTTCCATTCACCAACTTCGTAACAGCTATACCAGCAGTAACTATGACAAAAACCACTGCTAGCGCAACTGACAAGGCAGACGTATACTTCAAAGAATCTGCACAAAGGAACCTCTTAAGTCCTCTCAGAACCTAAATTATCCTGAAGATTAAAAATCATTATTTTCTGAAAGACACTAACCTACACGCTTGAAGCATGCCAATGGAGAAAACACGAAAAGGGTCGTGAGAAGAAGAACAATAAATCGTCCATTCCACCAGTGCTCTCCAAACCATCCTTCTAAGACCCCAGAATGATGAATGCCTTCTGAATTTGTTCCCGAAAGGACATCACCTGGCAACAAAAGAATCTAGTTGTTAACATATGTTGGCAAGATGTAATAAGAAGTTCACAAGATATGTAAGAGAAGACAGCCAGCAACCCATGTCACAATCTTTTGGAACATCGATAACATGGTATCAGACCACTAAGGAATAAGAAACTTTGGGGTTCAAATCCCACTGTAACATGTTTATATTAAGAACAGTCCTCGAGTAGTCTTCTAAGTTGTACTCCATATGTAAGATAGTGTGGGCTTAATATTGCTTAAACTCGTGACAAAGTGGTGTTTACTAACACAAAAGGAATGACAACCTTATGCTAAAATAGCAGCAAACACTTAGAAATGACATAATCTGAAAAGACTGAAGATGTTTGCCTGCTGTATGTTCCTTGAATAATAATAAACTGAAGAGTTAAAAAAATAAAAATAAAATAAAAAACTTCTAATGCGACGCACACTCCTAGTTTCTGTGTCGCTAGATGATTTATTCCACGTTGTTGTATAATAGTGTCTACACTTTATCAGGTAATTGATCATAACATTTAGACTATTTGATAAAAGAAGATCAATACTTAAAAAACATCTAAAAGAAAGGATGCCATCAAGAGTTACCATCTAAATGCTAACTTAAATCAACTACATAACACCACTAATTTGTCAAAAACAGCCTTTATTCATCATAATATGAAAATGAAGAAAATATCATTGCTGTTCAAACTAAAGTTGGTGATACTCACTACTGAGCAGCAATCTAGCATGCATCCTCTATGATTCTAGCACCGATTTCTTAGAAAATGAAGTCATTAACAAGAGATGACATCCATAAAACCTGCAATAGATAGGAGGACCTCGTACGGTTAAGAAACCTGAGGCAACTTTTCGAACTTCCTTAAAGTAGGAAAAGTTTCAATGAAGATGGAAACAGAAAACTAAACATTTTGCTACGGGAATTGCAATGTCATTTTAGTGCAATGAGATTTAAGAACATTTGTTAGAAAACTATTAAGACAACAAAAAAATTTTCATGCGAGATAATCCTAACAAGTTTTCCTAAACATAACAATTCTCCAGCACTGTTAATCAGATATTAATAGCAATTCATAAATGCAATCATACAGCTAAATAGTCTTCCTAGACTGCTAAAATCACAGTTATAACAACAATAACAAACAGGGACCCTATATGCCAAAGTTAGGGTTGGAACGAAGCCTATTCATTCAGTTCAAAGAAGAACTCACAGTTAGACAATCAAAATGGAAACAAGTTGGGTGGAAACAAATAAGGGAGAAAAAAAACAAAAAACAAAAAATAAAAAAAGGAAAAAATGAGGTAATAATCCCGGGCAAAATAAGCAAGTGAGATAAAGAAAGAATGATTGCAAGAGGTATCATACCGATGATAATCAAATACACAACCATCACGCCAACATTATTCACAACAACACAAATCTGAAGTAACATCTTTCCAATTCTTCCAAAGGCATCTCCCATGACTCCTCCATAAGAAACAGTCTTCCCTGCTCGGCTAAACCTCATCAACATCTCAATTGAAGATTCAGTAAGGAAGGCCATGAAGACAATCATAAGAATCCCGGGCACCAATCCTAGGACTTTCATAGTGGCAGGCAAAGACATTATTCCAGCTCCAACAATGGTTGTAGATAGATTGAATACTGCCCCACCAAAAGAAGCTCCATTAAACTCGCTAAACCCTTCACCAACCTCTTGCTTGGTGGGTAGCAAGGGAGCATTTTCTTCTTGAATCTGAATGTTCTTCCCACTACCCTTCTTCTCCAAAAAGCTTCCAATAGTCATACTTTCTATCTTCAAATCTTGAATATTCAGATAAATAAGATAGAACTCCAAGACTTGGAGTTAATTAACAAGTCGATTCTTGTGAATTCCCCCAGTAAACTGCAACCAGCAGAAAATTGAAATAAGTTCATTATATGATTAACAATTCAAAAGTATGGTCCTTACGATACAACTGAAAGATTAACAGAAACACTGATTTAAGGTAAGATTTTGAAGGGCAAAAAGCAGACAACATCACTTGATTTAATTTTTTTTTAACCAATACGAGCTAGAAATGCAAATAAATAGAACTTCCTTTTCATCAAAACATGAATGATTACAAGTAGCCATTACCCTTATCTTCCTTATCTAAGCATTTTCCTTCAATCAAAATGAGCCAGCTATGGAGCTCCGAATTAAGCCCCCAAAAGAGTTCGAAGAAAATTTACAAATTTCTAGCAAATAAACTACGGAACGATATGATTCATAACTTAAAACTCCAGATTCTCACTTTGAATAAAAGATCACAAACATTAATTAACTAAAAATTAACCTTTTTTTTCAAATCCAGAACACTTACTAACAATAATTACCTAAAACATAGAAGGTCTGGATCCGTAAGAGTTTAGTTTAGTTATTTCCACTTTAAAAATTGATAACCTTTATTTTAAGTTAATCAATTTGAGCACGAAAGCCATTAGAGTAAAGATTAAAGCTACGGTCTTCATAATTAAATAAAAATTAGATATTAAGCTGGAAGATCAAGAATTTACCTAACAGACTCAAAAAAGCTGCAACAATTCCGATCGGAGCTCGGAAATTCGAAGGAAAAGCACAAAGCTGTCCTCCTCTTTCTTTTTACCCCCTTAGAAATCGCCTTCAGCCGACGCTTTCTTGGAATTTAATTCTCAGATCTAACTAAAAAGAAAATAGGAGAAAAGGAAAGAAAAAGAAAATCGCAGCACGGAAGAGATATTCTTTGTTTCTCTCTTGTTTTCCTCTTTTCCCTCTTGTTCTTCGGTCGTCTGACGAATCCCAAGAAATTATAAGCCGGAGGACCGCGCTGTTGGTAGATGACGAAATTGCCACTCATTAGTTACATTACTGATCTTGGGAGTTATTTGTCGGCTTAATTGCACTGAAATACCCTATAGTTTCGCCTACTTAGCAGATATACGCCCCCATTTGTATATGGTTGCACTTTAGTACCCTAAGGTTTTTAAAAGTTGCACTTTAGTATCCTTTGTTGTGCAAACATGAGAATTTCCCCGGAAACTTTTTGTGGGACACTCAAATGTTATGTTTAGAATATCTTAACCCTATTTTTTTTTAATTAAATCTACTGGTACACCTATAAAAATCATATTTTAAACATATTCTAATTCTATCTTAGAATAGGATTTGGCATGTTAAACAGTAATTTTAAGAAAATTAGCGGTTAAAATGTCCTAAAAATAGCATGTTAGTGTCCCATGAGCATTTTCAGCAGAAATTCTTGTGTTGGCATATAATAAAATGAAATTTTTAGAAACTTTAGGAAATTTAAGTGCAACCAAATACTACTAAGGGTATACATGTGCAAGATAGGTGAAACAATAGGGTGTTCAGTGTAACTAAGCTTACCTTTTGTTTTTTTAGGGGCTGTTTGGTTCGCTATTATAAGGGGTGGAAAACTCAGAAAACCCCTCCACGTTAGATTTTTAGCCCTCCACGTCAGTTTTTTTATTTCCGTCCATTTCTTTGTGCCGCTTTGGTTCGCTCGGATGGAAGAGGGAAACTCTGCTGAAATCGCCGCCAACTCAGATTTGTTTCCCTCTCCGATTTCCTTCCCCAACCAAGTAAAATTGATGAAAACTTTGTCACGTCAGATTTTTTTCCTCTCCGATTTCCTTCCCCAACCAAGTAAAATTGATGAAAACTTTGTCACGTCAGATTTTTTTCCTTCTTTGTTTTGTTTACAAAAGTTTTTCTTTTTTTTCTATGCGAACCAAACACAAGAAAAATAAATACATTGGTTTCTCATCATTTTTTATGTGCGAACCAAAGCAAAACAATCTATTTTCTGGAAAAGTTTGGAAAACTCAAAACTTATATTTCTTTACATGGAATTGCATTTCCCTATATCAAGGAAACGAACCAAACAGCCCCTTAAAGTAAATTTTATGTACCCTTTGTTAGTTGTGGTGATTGATATTGTTGTTGTTATTATTATTATATATATATTTTTAACATCGGTTGGTTTTTTTTAATCTAAAGATCTTGGGAGTAGGATTGGAAACGGACCAAATAATTAATAAATAATTTATTTATTATTCTTTAAATATTCAGTTATATTCAATTTAATAGTTTATTTAATAGTAAATGAATATTTTTTAGTATGCGGTTCTTAAATAAATAAAATTTGGCTGTGAGTATATCCGATTTGTCTAATTATTAAATATTTATTTATAATTTTCTACTTCTATATTAATGCATTGTAGTGTCTTTTATGTGTGCAAAATATTATAAGCATTGCTATTCACAAGTATTATATTAATAATTTATAAACATACAGTACAATAATTCTTATAGTGAAATATCATAATACCAATTAAGTAAAACACTGTAAAAAATAAATAAGAAAAGACTTTTAAAATAGGGTTTAAACTCAAGATCTCATGTTCAATAATCTTATAACATACCAAGAGTGCTAGTGAGATATTGGTGAATATTTAACAAATATTCTTCTAATTAACGAATTGATTTTGAACACTTTTCTTATTTTACAAGGAATTCGAATTCAAATTCGAATTCGGAAACTAGCTGAACACACGAATATGAGCACCACGGTATTCGATTTGATTAGGTTCGTTTCCACATCTACTTGAGAGCCATATTGAAACCTCCCAACCATTCGAGTCATCTGCGGTTCCCAAAATCGGTTGATCTATTGAATATTATTTATTGGATAATATTTCATTCTATTAAAAAATTATGCACCTATCAGCTTTAACTATAAAGTTAAGTTTATATAAGTATCAATTTCTTTCTGCCCGATGGCTTAAGTCATTTTTCTCAACAGCTCATAAATTAGCAGGTATATGGACCTGTGGTATATGGTGCATCTCTAAGTTAGTGAATTAAAGTTTCTAATGAGATTAATTGTAAGTTAGAGAGAGCTAGATTAAGGAGTTAGATAGAACTTAATAATCAGAGTTTGATGATCTATTTGATCATAAATCTTTAATTAGTAGGCATTGGTCTTCAATTTTCTATTTTTCATTATGATTTCTTCTGTATATCTAATTCAAATTCTTAACTGTTAACTAGTGATCCCAACTTTTACTTTAGAAATAAAGTCATTATATGCACAACTTTTTTTTAATGTGGCATTATACTTGCATAAAAACCCGCAATATTTTACATTTTACTCTTATTTTAATTTATAGTAAAAGCTTTCTAGTATTTCTTGCAACCAAAGCTTCTTATCTACGGCAACAATGACTCAAGAGAAGAATGGCAATTGGGTAATTCCAGCAAAAAAGCGTGTTACTTAACTTAAGAATCTTTCAGAATCGTGACAAATTATCCAACTGATTAAAAATCAAACACGACAAAGTATGGATATGATTGAGAAGATAATAGGCCTCTAAAAACATCAAAGTCAATAAAAAGGTAAGATGAGATGGACAGGTGAAATAGCTAATTTTAAACTAGTGAATTTAGAAAAAGTTCTACACCATTGATAAGTATCTTTTGGAAGATAAATTCGAAACAAAAACTAGCGAAAAATAATAATAATAAAAATAAATAAAAGCTATATTCTAATTTCTAAACAATTTTGATCCTCTTATTAGCTTCTTATTTGAAAGTACAAGATTATATTGGAGATGATTATAATTAATTTTATACATAATTCATCATATATATTCCTTAACTATATTTTTCAAAACTTTTTATTCAAGACAAAGCGTGACGTTCATCATCGAATGATGAATGTTTTGTCTGCAAATCTGCATTGTGGGGGCCCATTTCAATCACATAACTCCCCTATTCACCAACATGTGATGTTTCACTTCTTGTTCTTTCTACTTAGCATGTTTATGTTTCATTAATCTATGCAATTAACATAACTTAGTGATGTTAACTGTACTACTAGGACAATAATTTGTATTATGATCACTAAAAAATACATTTTATGTGTGGATCAAAATGAAGAGGAGAGGTGGATGAACGTGTCCTCTTGCATCTCGGCATCATTAGGTTGGCAAGAAAGGGCCCCACACGAAATGCAACTGGTAATTTGGGATCTCCCTCCGCCACCCGTTTCGGATTCTCGTGACGTAGCCGCGGACGAACATAGACAATGACATACAATCGTTCTTATGAAAATGTTTTATCAAATTGATATTAATATCATTATTTGCTTTTCTTATGTGTTTGCAAGAGAAGGCAATCTTCATCTTCAGGGACCATTAAGAAAGATCACTACGAGTTACGAAATGGGCTGAGGTTAGGTCTTATTAAGTTTAACAGCATGCTTTTTTATTTAGTTCTCAGGTAACCATCAAGTAATTTGCGTCTGCTGGATTAATATGCAGTGGCATCAATAACCGCTTATATTTGGATGTATATAAACAGATAAAATTTTAAAATCCTAAGATCAGTTATGAAATACATGATGTCGATCCATGGTAGCCATGGATCTTGGTTAGTGTCCTAACAAAAGTAATACGCGTCACATCGTGGCATGGTTAATCTCACGAAGTTTATTCAAGAAATTTCTCGCATATAGTGCTCCAACTACTGGTAAATAGGCTTATATGTAAAAAAACAAAAACAAAAACGAACAAATAAATAAAAAATTACTACTAGTAAATAGGGGTCACCGTATAGGGGCCGTTTGTTGTTAGTTTTTTGGGATGAAAAGAAGAGGAAAACTGCCACAGTTGTCAGAACTGTGGCAGCTTTCCACCCAAAACGCCTCTAAAAGAGGCGTTTTGGGTGGAAAGCTGTCACAGTTCTGACAACTGTGACAGCTTTCCTCCAAAACGTCTCTAAAAGAGGCGTTTTGGGTGGAAAGCTGCCACAGTTCTGACAACTGTGACAGCTTTCCTTTATTTTCATGGTAAAATTTTTTTTCCAAACGGGCCCTAATCCTCACTTGCTCCCTGCTGCCCACTATAAATTCCCTTCCCCCTCCTTCCCACCAAATTCAAAACCAAACACCAAAAATGACCTCAACACCCTCACTCCCCCTCCCGCTTCTCGTCCAAACAAAGAAACCGCCGCCGCCATCA